GCACTGGAAGGGGCTCTGAGGTCTTGCCGGATCCTGGCGGATAAAACGCAGCTGTCGGAAAGCAGAGATGAGGGTGGGGCTCGTCGTGTTGGCTTCAAGTCCTGATTTTGCTATTCCCCCTGGCTTCATAAAAACCTCTGAGATGGGGGAAAACCAGTCCGAGGTGTTTGAGATCCTGCAAATCGAGGGAAGAACTGAATGCGCTGCCCCATCCTCTCGCTGATCTGTAGGTTTTGGGGCGGGTGGCTTAGTACCGCTTGAAGGGTAGAGTCAAACTACAGAATCTGGGAGGTTTAATTCTTTAATTTAATAAAAAGGAGGTGACCCTACATGGCCGAGTACTTCAGTCTGAGCTTGGGCAGCAAGCGGGGAGCGACGCCAGCGGGACCTGGGAGCCGGCAGGAGTTTGGCTCCCCCCCCGGGATTGCGGCGGGCGAGGAGCCGCCTTTCTCCCAGCGCTGCGGGTGGCATTCAACCCCCAAACCACCTGGAATAAATCACCTTAACCCCACCGCCTCGTATCCCAGAGCCACCCCAGGGGGATTTTGGGGGGGTTGGGGATGGTGGGCACCCCTCTCCTGCCCCCCAGCTGCGGTGTCCGAGGGCTCTGCTTGCCCGGTGCCAGCCTGAACCTCCTCCCCTTCCATCCTCTGCCAGAGCAGAGGGAAAACAAGCACCTTCCTGTTGTGTCCCACTGTTTTCACGCCCTTTTAATCCCTTTTTTCGGGCCGCTGGACCAGCACGCACTGTTTACGTTGGCTGGCTGCCACCGCGCGCGAGTCAGTGGCCCGAAAGGCCTTTCGGTGACGTAGAAAAAGGGCAACGACCAAAAGCATTTCTCAGCCTTCTTTCCACTTATTTATTGCCTTCTCTTCCTCCCACAGCTAATTCAACCACCGCTCGGCCCCCCCGGCCCCGCTCAGGCGAGGTGGTCCCGCGCGTGCAGCATGATGACCTTCAGCCCCAGCCACGTCTCCTGGGCGGTGGGGACGATCTCCTTGGCGGGGAGCAGGAACCCGTAGCGCCCCGTGTCCCGCAGCTCGAAGGTGAAGGAATACTTAATGCCCTGGTTGTACGTCCAGTCGATGGTTCCTCCGCTCGCTTGATCTGAGGGGGACGACAACGTCGGTCGCTCCGCGTCAGACGGGGGTTTCGCGGGATCTTTCGGCTAAGGCGAGGCGGGAGGGAGCGTTTTGGGGGGACCGCTGCTGCCCTCCCCCCGTTACTTACAGATGGTGGTGATGATGCTGCCGTACGTGTAGGCGGTGCCGTACAGGGAAGACAGAGCTGCGACCGCCTTCTCGGAAATCTGATGCTGGGAATGCACAGAAGGGAGAAACGTGAGGCAGAAAAGGGGAAAAACCAGCGGGATACAGCCCGCAGGAGAGGTTGGTTTGCTCGTGCCACAGGCTAAAAGGTTGCCAAAGCTC